TAAAATTTCTATTTCCCATTTTTATACTAGTTCATTGGTCTTACTCATTTGTAGAAGGCTTTTGGATGTTGTGCATCATAAGCCTATGATACATTTAGCAATTCTTCTCTCCCAATCTTCAATGAGTCTTTTAATTATATTTATGTGTCTTGCTGTACAAAATTGGTAAACTGTTTAAGAAGTAAAGAGCTACTCTCTGTTCCTTCCCTCAGGGACTGTGAATAACTAAAAGGTCTACACCATCATTTTAAGTAACATACATATGAAATACTTCATTCTTTTCTGTAAATGCTTGCTCGCTTTTTGCCTAAAGGATCAACAACACATTTGCCTGGAATTGCTTTCGTGAGGATCACCTACAGGCTCACCCTATTGCTTTAAAATGATGAAAGATGCTAGGACTGGGTGATGAGAGGTTCTTTATGCCAATCCCTTTCATTTTGCATATGTATGGATATTTCTGTAACAAAAAATTAAAATTTTAAGTGTCTATACCAATTTTTAGTCAGATCCCAAAACAAGTAACAGAAAGGAATGAAAAAAAAAATCTAAGAAATAGCTCAAAATTCAGGGAGTAAAGACATACTTAACAGAGCTTGTGTAAAGAACTGATATTCATCCACACTATTGTCAAGGTCAAGTGGAGTGCTGAACCCCTCAAGGGCAGTTTCTTCCAGCACTTCTTCATCCCAGTCATCCTCCTCTTCCTCCTSGTCTCCACCTCTCCCGTTATTTGTCTGCATGGCTTGAGCAGCAAAATCAAAATATGCAAGTGTAATAGATAAAATTTCATGAAAAAGACTATTTTGAAAATGTAGAAATGGAAAAACAACAATTTTACATAAATACATAAAAATAAACCTTATGCCTACTCTACAGTTTGATAAATTGAGAATGGCTTTATCCTTCTCACTGAAAACAATTTCCCTAGATCTGTGGGTTACCTGAACATTGCTAATGTTATACTAAAACTGACTCATTAATTTGGGAATACTATTTAACTGCAGATTTCCCATAATTTTTGTTAAAAAAAAGACACAAATGATTTTGTAATCAGTACACGTTTTAGATAATAATGACCTCCCATTGACTAAACAGATTACCAAGTGTTCAGAAGTACCAAAATGAGGAGGTCATTTCTTTCAATAGAAATAGTAAAAATGCAAAAAATGTAAATAATAATAAAGTAGTCAACTACATGTGCCTTGAAAAGTTATAAGCCAAGTTACACATGACCTATTTTCAGTGCTGCTCTGTTCCAAGTGGTTAGATGAATATTATAACTGGAATATTGTAACTAGAAGGCAGCAAATGCAGAATAAAAATCAATTTAAAAGGAAAAACCTAGAGTAAACCAGGCAACATCAATCTAAAACTAGTTCCATAAAACACACACACTGAAACAGTTGGATTA